AGAAGCATCCGCCTTAGGAGTGACAGAGGACGGAGTATCTTCGACAGTGAGAGGCCCGGTTGGCGGCAAAGTTGGTCCAGAAGTCGAAATCGGCACAGATGGCAGAATTCGAACAACCTTCTCATCTTCATCCTCCTCTGCCTCCACATCCTCTTCTGCAACTAGATCCAACCAAGACACCGCCTTGTCGAAGACAGAAGAGTCAACGACTTCGGTGGGAGTCTTCCGCGTGACTCTCCAGCCGTCGAGCGACATCGTCTCGTAGAAGATCGCTTCCACCATGGTGACCAAGCGATTGGTTGCCAGATCAAGCACTAGCCATCCCTTGCTCTACTGCGACACCCCCAGATGGAGAGCCCATCGGGCGTTAGGTGCCAGTTTCCCTCCACGCTTGTTCTACGGAATCAGAAACTGCAGCATACACCCCCAGACGCGAGCCATCCCCAGATCAGGTTTTTTCACCGAAGATCATCTCGTACAGCATGATGCCCGATGGCAGAGAAGAATGCTCGAGGCGGTTCCGCACCCAGACCGCTTGCAGAGCAGCAAGATGCCACCAATGGTGAGGGGCACCCATGTGCAGAAGCATTGTCCTTACGCCCTCGACGACAGTCCGCATTTCGCGTTCTGCCATCTCGTTCTGCTGCGGCGTGTAGGGACAAGTAAGATCGTGCTCAATTCCCCGCTCTTTGAGGAATTCTACGAGCTGTCTACCCAAAAATTCGCCTCCACGATGGGAGCGCAGAGCCTTCAGAGTCGCCTCACATTGTCGTTCGGCTCTGGGAAGCCATTTCCGAAAGACGAGCAATGCGTCACTCTTCTGCGCGATCGGGTAGACCCAGACGTAGCGTGTCTTGCGGTCTTTGAGCAGAAGAAAGTAGTGGCTGCCATCCTTAGCGGGAAATCGGAAGGGCCCGCAGAGATCGACGTGCACTACTCCCAGCACTTTCTTCTCGTCACTCCCTTCTGCCGGAAAACTATGTCGAGCGAGTTTGCCACCGACGCAAGAGACACATGGCAGATCAGTGCTCTGCGTCTTCTCAATGTCCAAGCCCATAACTGCTCCGTGCGCCACCGTCCGCCGAATCGTCTCGACCCCAGCTTGGGCCAGACAAGCATGCCACACGTCCGTAGAAGAGCGCGCGTCAGTCGCCAATGTGCGCAGAGCAATCGCTTCTGCCGTAGGCTTCTGTCGCGGCCATGGCTGCAGATTGGTGCTGAGAACCCGGCCTTTGTATCGAGCTCGCCCGAGCAGAACGTCGTCTGCAGAGAGCATGATAGTTTCCTCGCCAGTGTCCTTCAGCTTCACTCCACAGTCCTTCAGCTGCCCGGCAGAAAGCAGATTAGCGTGGATTCCAGGGACGTAGAGTACATCTGGGACCAAAATCCTCTTCCCAGCCTCGCCAAGCAGAGCGATGGTTCCCCGTCCTCGAACAGCTCGGATGGCGCCGTTAAATCCGCGAACTTGCTGGATTTCTCCGTCCTTGTGCATTTCTACGAAGGCCTTGTCATCTCCCATAAGGTGGTGCGAACATCCACTATCCAGGAGAATGACCGCAGGGTTGGCTTCTACAGCAGCTGCGATCGCCTGGAAGTCTTTGCCATCCTCTGGATCCAACGAGATGGGCAGATCGTCCATCTTCTGCTGTTCTACGATCGGCTCGACCATCGCACACGAGGGTCCTTTTCGATTAGCAGAACCAGAGCTCGCAGAAGAACCACCACTCTGCGCGCCAGAGGGCGGATTACTTTCCCGCTTCTGCGAATGATCAGTGTTCCCCTTGCCTTTGCGATCTGGGCACTGAGCAGCGAAGTGACCGATTTCACCGCAGACGAAACAGGGTTTATCCTTGTTCTTCTTGGCCGATTTCTTCTTGTCGTTGCGGCCGTCCTTCTGCTCTGCGGCGGAGTCATTCGTAGAAGAAGCCCATCGCCTCTGCTGCTGCTGCTGCCGCGGTGGTTGTCCCGTCGACGCCCAGTTCGATTGTGGCAGAGGAGACTCCTTGCACTGCTCGATCGCAAGGGTAGATTCTTCCTCAACGATGTGACTCGTCAGAGTGTTTTCGTCGAGGGTTTTCCGTACTTCCGGAAACTTGATCATTCGCCGTAGATAGCTGTACTGCGATGGCAGACCCTTGACGACGTGCGACACGTAGGAAGCCGTAGAGTACCGTACTCCGGTCATCCGCAGATTTGCCAGCAACTGCTGTGCACGGGTGCAGTAGGCGGTAGCAGTCTCGTACTCTGCCATCTCCAGACTTGCCAGACTCTGCTCCAACTGACCGATGTAGAGATCGTCAGTAGCCTTGTAAGTCTTCATGATGAATCACCATGCTTGGTAGCCCGCATCCACTCGCAGACGACAACCCTTCAACGCCATCTTCACAGAAGGCGAGCAGCAGCGCGAGATCACCATGAATGTCAGCAACTGAGCAGAGCGGAACTGCCCGTACCGCGATGCATCCGACACAGGAGGGGCTTTCGTTGACCCGTCGACAAACCGCCTCAGTTGCGCAATCTCCAGCTGAGGTTCTATGGACTCGACCCACGACGCCAGTTCGTGTCGTCCCTCAAGGAGCCTTGGCACTACGATTTTGTCAGGAGAAAACTTGAAGTAGCCGAATTCATGAGCAATCCCTCCATCCTTCGAGGCTGTCGGTAGAGAGGCAGTAGAGCCGTCGGCAGCGTTGTCTGCGCCGTCACGACCGCCAGAACGGCCTTCTTCAGCAGCACTTTTCTTCTTCAAGCTTGACTCCCTTGCAGGGTCCCTTCCGTCGCCCACGCTTGATCCTTCACCATTCGGCGTTTTTCCTTCTCGTAGAACACCGCGTGACTCTCGCACTCCGACTTCTGCCAAACCTTCCACGTTCTCCTTGTCTCGGGAGACTTCCTCTGCACGCGCCCGCGGATGATCCATCTCCCATTGAGTTCGTAACCCCATCAGCATATTGTTGAGCTCCTTCTCTGGGAGGTCTTCATAGCGGGCTATCAAGGCAGCCTCCTGCGTCTCGAGATCGTCGACCACCTCTCGGACGTCCGACTCGCCGTCCGTCATATCGACAATCGAGACCTTCTACGAGACCTAGCGTTGTAGATTTGGCCTCTATCGTTCGCGTCTTCGTTCCACGCTCACCGCACCATGCAGAGGTTTCTGCTATAACGGGAGCTTCTGCGGAAGTGCCTGATGCAGATAGAGCTCTCTAGCTCAGAGGTTCTCCAAGGAGAAAGTTGCCTCCAGAATTGTGTGTTTCACAGAGTAGCTTTAGAAAGCTTAGGCACAGAAATTCACTAGAATCAAGATTACAAAGTATAGTACACAAGGCAAACACTAGTACTACCCCATTGAACCTCGTTGAACACGGCGAGAACGTTCGCACAAGAACGTTTACATAACTACTTTAAGCTGCGCTTAGCCAAATCAGCAGTGGCAAGTGAAAATTACAGCACATGCTTAGTTGGTAATTTTTACCCACTTAGAAGTAGTTGTTTTAACAGTTTCAGATATGAAACTGTCAGATGTTACGCACATTTCCGCAGTAAGGAATGCGTAATTCCTTACTGAGGCTTACTACAGGGCTTACGACTCGAACAGTCCCGAACCATCGCCAGGGTTCCAGACCTATCAGTTCGAGCCTCCTGGGCCTTTCCGGACCTCGCTTCGACACATCGAGGCCCTTCGATACTTTTCCCGAACCTTCCGATCCTACGTCCAGGATGACCCTAGGCTTTCTATATATTGTATTGTCTTTCATTTTATTGTCATTCACTCGTTCACAGTTTCGCCATTGCCCTCCGCGCTACTCGGCAGTCCCATTCATAACATCCGCAGTTACGAAATGTGCGTCACGCGTTCAATTTCTCAATGTCGTAGGTAGATTTTGCCGTCCGAGATGACTCTTTGACGCGCTTCTGCTGAGTTTCGTTTCTGTCGAGGGGGTCGTCCACAGAAGAGATAGCCGAATTGCATTTCTGCCGAACTCCCGCAGAACGCAATTCTGCGCGAACAGGTTCTTGCGCAACTCTGCCCAAAGTCTTGTTGGAACGCATTTCTGCAGAGTCGCTTCTGCCGAAAGGATCGCCCGCAGAAATGTCTTCAGCGCGAAACTTCTGCAGAGGACATCCCTTCTGCAAATGGCCCCTGGTGCCAAATCCGCAGAGGGTCTTCTACACTCGCGTTTCTTCCAAGACCACTTCTACAAACGCACAGAAATCTGTCGAAGCCATATGCAAGAAAAGCGCTCTTGTTCTGCCACTTCGACAGAACTGCTTTTCTGCCATCAACGAAAAGACTGCTCTTCTGCCACTTCCCGTAGAGCCTCGCCTTGTCGACAAATCTGCTCTTCGTCGATGGGCCTTTCTGCAGGGCTCGTGTCCGCAGACTTCGTTGATATGCCGCTTCCGCAGACTTCTGCAACCTTCGCAGGATCAGGGCTATTCTCAACAAGCCTGGCGAATGTAAGCGTTCTATTTTTCGCCAGCCAAGATCTGGATGTTTCTGCCGTGTGTATAATTTGTACACGATCTACATTCGGTTCGGAAACGTGCGGCCCACGTCTGTGGGCACGTTTGGAGGGTGTTTGCCAAAACCGTCAATTTCTCGGCGTGTCCGAATGGACACGAAAGTTCGGGTTATCAATTCGAAATTTCGTACCTGATATGCAAAGTAAATAGTATACGAACGCGTTGGACACGCCCTCAAATCACACTCGAAGTCCAGGAACGACACTACGCGAGAATTTCCTCCTGCGACTTGTGCATGTCAGTTGTGGATGTGGCGGCATCCCTGCGAAATGTGGTCACTCGGGTTTCGGAAATGCTGTGGTGTTTGAATGCGGAAAAGGCCAGGTTTAAACAGCCGTTCTCGTGAATTCTGCTGAGGGTTTTCGCCGCGACGGGGACGTAATGTAACCCTCTCCTAGTTCGACCGGTGTCTCGAATTACGAATTGGATGTCCCGCGCCCTAAGTGTAAGAGTGCGGTGCCCCATGTTGGTGAACCAGCCATTCTCACCTTGCATGTTTTTGTCCTCGCGTCAGAAGCGCCTTTGTCATGATCGCCACTAGACTTCCGCCGTTGTCCGATCGCGCCGCTGGAACAGGGTGCTGCAGCACCGCCCGACTCGTGTCGACCTGCGATTCTGCCGCCGGCGCTGAAGCGCGTGCGCGAGGGGCGGCGACCCGCGGCAGCAGCGCGCGGTTCCGAGCCCGCAACGACCGTTCCCCCCGGCGCGGACGCGTCCGCCAGGATCCCGGACATGCGTGCCTCAGCAGCAGCGCCGCTCGCGGCCTCACCGGTCCCCGTGGAGTGGGCGGCCGGCCGTCGCGCCGTGCGCGCGCCATCATCGCCAGTTCCATCGCGCCAGCCGGCACTCGCGCCGCAGCGTCCTGGTCGTTCCCCCGCCGACCTCAGTCGATCCGCCTAGATGCGACCGCGGCGGGCGCGGGAGGCGCGGCGGAGGAGGCGGTGGAGCGGATGGTGGCGTGGGCGCGCGGGGAGGAGGGCGTGTGGAGCGTGGTGATCCCCACGCACAACCGCCTGCCCATCCTCGTTAAGTGCCTGCGCGCGCTGGAGCAGCAGGTGGGCCACACGCAGGCGGGCGTGCGGCGCTATGAGGTGGTGGTGGTGGACGACGGGTCGACGGACGGCACCGTGCGCACCCTCGCCGCCATGGGGGTGGGGTCCCTCGAGTGTGGGGGGGAGGGCGCCGCAAGGGAGGCGGGAGAAGCGGCGGCGCATTCAGGAGGAGCGGCAGCAGCTGTGGCGTTCCCCCATGTGCGGCTGCTGCAGCAGCAGCACGGCGGCGCAACGGCTGCTCGCAACCACGGCGTGGGCGTGGCTGCAGGCAGCACGATGGTGTTCATCGACTCCGACATGGTGGTGTGCCGCGGTGCGCGGGGGAGGGCGCAACAGGGCCTCACACACACATGCACACACATGCACACGCACACGCACACACACACATACAGGTACACACACACACGCACATGCACACGCACACACACACACACACGCACACACACACACACACATACAGGTACACACACACACACGCACACGCGGGCACACACACTCACACACACACACACACGCACACACACACACACACACACACACACACATACACACATACACACACACGCACACGCACACACAGACACACACACACACACACACACACACACACACACACATACACACACACACACACACACACACACACACACACACACACACACACACACACATACAGGTACACACACCTACGCTACACACACACATACACCTACACACACACATACAGGTACACACGCAGATTCAGAGACACACAGACCTACTGGCGTTGCTGCCTCCTGCTGATTCGAGTGCATTCCCCACTTCCTCTCACCGCACCTCTTCAGGCTTCCTAGCAGCGCATGCGCGTGCTCTCGCCGAGGCAAGCAGCAGGTTCGGGGACGACCGCACCTTCTCGTACGGGCGCGTGGTGAACACAAGCAACTTCCATGACCCCATGGCTGAACCCTTCAAGCTCACCGTGCGTGCTGCCATCCACACGGCATCCCAATGCTACCTTTCGCTGCAACGCTGCCTACGCACAATATCTTTTCGTTGTTTCGTGTTGTTCTGCAAGCACGACATGGGTGCAGGTGCAAGTGCGCCACTGTGCCCACCCAAGCACACATCAACTTTCTGCATTCTAACCAACACTGTTTTCTTCTTCCCCTTACCACACCCCCTATGACTCGTGCCTTCCCTTATCCTCACGCCTTCCCATGGCTTCTCCCTCCCGTGTGCGCGCAGGACTACTCCGCCGCGTTCTTTGCCACGGGCAATGTTGCCATCTCGCGCCGCATGCTGGCCGCCGCCACTCTCCGCCTCACCCCCCCCTCCACTGTTGCCACCACCGCTGCCATCCCCCCCTCCTCCTCCCCCAACACCTCAATTGATGTGCGCAGCGGAGTAGAGGAGGGGGCTGGGGGCAAGCATGCGGATAGGAAAGCGCAGGGAGTGGATGCAGGAGGGGAAGGGCGGGATGGTGACAGGTGTGGAGCGGCGGAGCAGCAGTGGCAGCAGAGGGGGCCGTTTGATGCGGAGTTCAGCAGCTACGGATGGGAGGACCTGGAGCTCGGAGGTGGGGTGGGGGGAGGATGGGGTGTGTGGGGGCATGAGGGGGGCTGGATGGAGCATGTCATGGGGTGGGATAAGGGGTTAGGGATACAGAGCTGGTTTCAATTGTGTGCTAGCTGCTATGCTGCTTAGGCGCATTGCCAAGCCTCATTCCATTTACATTCCAAAATCTACATACCGTAACCCCACATCCCCGGGTTGTGCCCCTCAGAGCGGCTGCGGCAGTGCGGTGCGCGCATATGGCAGTGCCCGGAGGCCGTGGGCTTCCACTGGCACCCGCCCTTCCACCCCTCGCAGCTGCCCGCTCTCATTCGCCAGGTGACCTCGTGCTGCCCCCCTGCTGCTCGTGCTGCCTCCCTACTGCCTCCCTGCTGGCCTCCCTGTTGCTCGTGCTGTCTGCTTGCTGCTCCCTTCCCTTCACTGCCTCCCTCATCTTTCCAATTCATTTCGTGTTCTCCGTGCGCTGCTCTCCGATACGCTACACGCCATCCTACCCAATGGCCCATGTGCCGCGCCACGGGTGCAGGAGAGGCAGCGAGGGGAGAACGGCGTGCGCTTCTTCCTCAAGCACCACACGCTCAACGTGCGCCTCATGGTGCAGATGACGCCCCTCCACGCCGCCCTCTGGTTCCTGCTCACCCTGGGGGGCTCCCTCAACGAGCACTCCCTCGCCCCTCTGCTAGCATGGCTGGTGCAGCAAGGCCATCCCGGGATGGCCATGGGGCTGCTCTCCCCCGTGCTCAACTGGCACACCGTGCAGGCCACACGGGAAGAGGTGCAGCGCCTGAGGAAGGAAGGGGTGGACGTGTGAGAGAGGTAAGGCCAGGGAAAGTTGCACAGAGGTGCTGTAGGCTCGACGGGGTTCTGCATGTGCCGAGAATGGTGGTGGTGGGGGATCTTGTTTTGAGAGTGAGACTGTGAAGAGCAAAGACTGCTGGACCAGAATCTCTTTCAACTTCTGTTGACTCTTTAGTCTGCTTGCTTTGGACGTCGTTGTCAAACATGTCTATTTGTTATGTTTGTATAGACTGTATAGGGTAGCCTCTTAGAGGGTACAACACTTAGCTATATTGTGTGTACTCTCCCTCTATCACATCATTCAATTTTCTGATATGGTATCACGCGTAGGTAGGATCCCCCCCCCCCCCACCTACCGCTTCCGCTCATGCCCCCTAGCGCCCCTCCTGGGCCCCGTCGCGCTCCTCCCTGGGCCCCATCGCGCTCCTCCCAGGCCCCGTAGCGCCCCTCCTGGGCTTCGTAGCGCCCCTGCCAGGCCCCGTCGCGCCCCTTCTGGGCTTCGTAGCGCCCCTGCCAGGCCCCGTCGCGCCCCTCCCAGGCCCCGTCGCGCTCCTCCCAGGCCCACTAGCGCCCCTCCTGGGCCCCGTCGCGCTCCTCCCAGGTCCCGTAGCGCCCCGTCGCGCCCCTCCTGGGCCCCGTAGCGCCCCTCCTGGGCCTCGTCGCGCCCCCTCCTGGGCTTCGTAGCGCCCCTCCTGGGCCCTGTAACGCCCTCCCAGGCCCCGTCGCGCCCCTCCCAGGTCCCGTCGCGCTCCTCCCAGGCCCCCTAGCGCCCCTCCTGGGCCCCGTCGCGCTCCTCCCAGGCCTTGTAGCGCCCCTCCTGGGCTCTTTCGCGCCCCTCCTGGGCTCCGTAGCGCCCCTCCTGGGCCCCGTCGCGTCCCTCCTGGGCCCCGTAGCGCCCCTCCTGGGCCCCGTCGCGCCCTCCTTGGGCCCTGTAGCGCCCCTCCTGGGCCCCGTCGCGCCCCTCCCAGGCCCCGTCGCGCCCCTCCCAGGCCCCGTAGCGCCCCTCCTGGGCCTCGTCGCGCCCCTCCTGGGCCTCGTAGCGCCTCTCCTGGGCCCCCCCCGTCGTGCCCCTCCTGGGCCCCGTAGCGCCCCTCCTCGGCCGCGTCGTACCCGTCGCCGCCGCCCGGCCCCGTCGTGCCCGCCCGGCGCCGTCGCGCCCGCCCGACCCCGTCGCCGCCGCCCGGCCCCGTCGCGCCCGCCCTGCGCCGTCGCCGCCGCCCGGCCCCGTCGCGCCCGCCCGGCGCCGTCGCACCCTGCCCGGCCCGTCGCGCTCGCCCGGCCCCGTCGCAGCCGCCCGGCCCCGTCGCACCCGCCCGGCCCCGTCGCACCCTGCCCGGCCCCGTCACAGCCGCCCGGCCCCGTCGCACCAGCCCGGCCGCCGTCCCGCTCGCCCGGCCCCGTCGCACCGGCCCGGCCCTGCCACACTCGCCCGGCCCCGTCGCCCCAGCCCGGCCCCGTCGCGCCCGCTCGGCCCCGTCGCCCTGTCCCGGCCCTGTCGCATCAGCCCGGCCCCGTCGCGCCCGCCCGGCCCCGTCGGGCCAGCCCCGGCCCCGTCCTCCTCACTGGTACGGTTCCCCCCCCCCCCCCCCCTCCCCCCCCCCCCCACCCCGCCCTGCTCCGTGCCGCCCTGCACCGCACTGCACCGCACTGTACCGCACTGCACCGCACTGCACCGCACTGTACCGCACAGTACCGCACTGCACCGCACTGCACCGCACTGTCTCGCACTGCACCGCACTGCACCGCCCTGCACAGCACTGGACTGTTCCTGATGGCGGCGGAGCTTCGCTTCGACGCTGAAGGTCAGCCCCTAGAGTTCGAGGCGTGGCTTGCCGACCTCCGCCGCCAACTCACTGGCCAGCGGCAGGATGGTGAACCGCTTTCTGCACACCTTGACGGTACGCTCCCCTGCCCAGACCCTCCTGCTATTCTGCCCGCTGACCCCACACCCACTGAGCGTGAGTCTACTGCTGCCACTGCCCGTGCGCGCTCTGTCTGGCTTTCTCGCGATGCTGTCGCCCAGCTTGCCATTAGCAACGCCCTCCCCCCGTCCGAGCGTCCGAGCTTTAGGTCCCTCACTACTGCTCAGGCATACTTAGATGCTGTCATCAAGCGCTATTCCACCCCTCCGGCTGCCTCGGTGGGTCGCCTGATCCTCCCGCTGCTCTTTCCTGACCTTGCTTCGTTCCCCACTGTCTCTGACCTCGCTGCCCACCTGCGCTCGATAGAGGAGACCTGGCGCGCCGCCTGCACTGACGCACAGCTTAGAGCCCACCAGCCGCCCCTTACCTCTACCCTCTACCTGCTTGCCACCCGCCTCCCTGACCGCCTTGCTGTCGCCCGCGACCGCTTCCTTAGTGTTCACCCCGCAGACCTCACCCTCACTGACTTTGTCGACACCCTGACTGTGATAGAGACCCGTCACCGCTCCATCGCCCAGGCGAGCGGTGTCGTGCCGGTCCCTATCTTTCAGGGTTGTGCCCCTGCTCAGTGTACCTTCTCCGACGGCTCTGCCGCAGTAGCTGAGACTGCTGCTGCAGCGCAGGCCCGTTCGGGGAAGGGCCGCCGCCCCAAGGCTGGGCGCGGCGGAGGGGGCGGCGGGGGTGCGGGCGGGGGTAGTGGTGGGGTCGGGTCGCCTGGTGCTGGAGTGGACGAGGGGACCCTGCCCAGTCCAGCTGAGTCGCCGCCCCTGCAGTTGCAGCAGCCGCAGCAGCCGCCGCAGTCGCAGCCTTCGCAGCAGCCGCAGCAGCCGTCGCAGACGCGGCAGACGAGTGTTCTCCTGCCAGGGTGGCCCGGCGCTGGCGGTGGACGGGCGCGTGGTGGTGTGCCGCGAGGTGGCTCTTCCGGCGGGCGTTGTCAGTACCAGATCCAGACCGGTCCTCGCCGCGGTTTCGTTTGCGGTAAGATCGGTCACTCCACTCCCCGCTGCTTTCGTCGCCTGGACGACCTCTTTCGTCAGCGTTTCGGCCCGTCGCCAGACCTCCCGGACTGGCACAGTTTGCTTAGTCGTCAGATTCAGATCTTTGATATGGACATGGATGCCATTGTTTCTGCTCTGCATGTGATGTATGCTGATGACTCTAGTGTGCTTCCGACTTATTACTCACTGTTGCCTAGTGTAGGTGTGCCTAGCTTAGCCCCCCTGCTGCGTCAGGCGTAGGATCCCCTGCTTTGTGTAGTCTTGGTGCTTCTGTCGTCGTTCCGTCGCCAGACCCCTCGGCTTCGCTTTCCTTCACCTTGGACTCTGGCGCCTCTCGGTGTTTCTTCCGCGACTCCACCACCCTGACGCCGCTTCCTGTTCCTGCTGCCGTTTCTCTTGCTGACCCCTCCGGCGGCCCGGTAGTCGCCCGCAGTTCCACCACCCTTCCCTGTCCGGCGGTTCCTTCGGGCTCTCTTACAGGTCTGCATATCCCCTCGTTCTCCAGGAACCTAGTTGGTGTCGGCTGCCTCCAGGACCTTGGCGTCACCACTACGTTCCCTGGTCACGAGCGGTATGCTGTCTGTACCGAGGCCGCCACTGGTGCCCCCCTGTCCACGTTCCCCCGGGACCCGGTGTCCGGCCTGTTCACTCTGGACACCGTGCCCCCCCCGGCTAGAGCGCCCCCTCAGGTGGCTGTGTCTACCCAGGTTGCTGCTGCCTGCTCCTGTCGCTCCCTCACTCACCCGACCCTCCTGTGGCACCACCGCCTAGGTCACCCTGCGCTCCCGCGTCTGCGTCACATGTCCCAGCACCGTCTTGTCCTTGGTCTCCCAGGTTCACTCCCCGCGTTTCCCTCCTCCCCAGCTCCACCTTGCACGCCTTGTGTCGAGGGTCGGCTTCGCCGTGCCCCTCACTCCTCCTCGATCCCCCCTACCGTCGCGCCGCTGCAGACCCTGCACGTGGACGTCTGGGGCCCCGCCCCCATCCCTGGGCCGCGTCGCGAGCGCTACTTCCTTGTGCTTGTCGACGACTTCACTCGTTACACCACAGTCTTTCCCCTGGAGCGCAAGGCCGACGTGCCTGGCGCCCTCATCCCCTGGCTTGTCTCTGCGCGTGTCCACCGCGGTCTCCCTGTCTTGCGTCTTCACTCAGACCGTGGTGGCGAGTTTGCCTCAGGTGTCCTTGGTCGCTTTTGTCGTGCGGAGGGCATCACCCAGACGTTCACCCTACCGGACTCCCCACAGCAGAATGGGGTCGCTGAGCGACGCATCGGCTTGGTCATGGAGGTCGCTCGCACCTCCATGGTCCATGCCGGTGCACCCCATTTTCTGTGGCCGTTCGCTGTGCGCTACGCTTCTCACCAGCTTAACCTGTGGCCGCACCCTCAGCAGCCGCAGGTTTCGCCGACCCGTCTTTGGACTGGGTCTCCTGGTGACGCGTCTGCGTTCCACGTCTGGGGCTGCCTTGCTCACGTCCGTGCCTCCGGCACGGACAAGCTCACTGCCCGCACCCTTCCCTGCGTCTTCCTCGGTTTTCCCCTTGACGCGTCCGACTGGCACTTTTACCACCCGCCGTCTCACCGCTTCTTTCACTCTCGTGACGTCACCTTTGACGAGTCCGTCTCCTACTACCGCCGCTTCCCCCACCGTGGTCCACCGGTTACCCCCCCCCTGTTCCTGGTCACCCCTTCCCCGGTAGTCCCTGCCCCTCCTCCTCCTCCTCCCCGTCCCGCCCCCTCTGGTGTCTCCCATGTCACCCCCCTTCCGTCCGTGGACCCGGTTGAGGAGTCTTCTGACTCTGGTGGCCCTCCGGTGCAGTCCTCGCCGGCCGCCCCTCCCCAGGTGTCCCCTCCCCAGTTCCCTCCTCCGCCGTCCCTGCCGCCACTGCAGCCGTCGCCGTCGCCGCCGCCGCCGCCGCTGCCGCAGTCGCAGGCCCCGTTCGCTGACTCTGGGGGTGCTCGTCCCGGTCCCTCTGAGGGTGGTCCCTCTGGGGGTGCGGGTGTGGAGCGTGCCGGTGGTAGCCGAGGAGCAGCTTGCGGTCCAGGTGTCGCCGTTGTGCCGCCGCAGCAGCAGTCCCCGCCGGTGTACGCCCTTCGCCTGCTCGGCCTTCCGTCCCCCGACCCTGCGTCGGTTCCTCCCCGACCGTCTCCTCCTCTTCCTGTCTACGGCCCTGTTTTCCCTCCGCCGGACTCGTCCCCGGCCCGTCTCCCCCCTCGTTCACCTCCTGTGTCCCCTCCCCTGTCTCCTGACCCGACTCCTCCATCGCACGTCTGGTCTCACCGTCCCTCCCGTGCTCGTCCTGCCTCGCCTGTCCTGCGCTCCCACCCTATGTTGCTTCGTTCACACGC